AAGGTTAATTTTGATGCTAAAGAACGTGCTGAATTGATTTTAAAAATGCATGAGTTAACTAAGGAAAACATTGAGCGTATGAATGTTAAATATAAACTTGCTGGAGATAAGGGTAGAAAACATGTTGTGTTTGCACCCGGAGATCTTGTTTGGTTACATTTGTGTAAGGATAGATTTCCTAATTTGCACAAAATCAAAGCTAATGCCACGTGCTGGTGGTCCTCTTAAGGTGTTAGAGAGAATAAATGATAATGCATATAAACTTGAGCTGCCTGCAGATTTTAGGGTTAGTCCCATTTTTAACATTGCAGATTTGAAGCCTTATTTGGGTGAGGATGATGAACTTTCATTGAGGACGACTTCATTTCAAGAAGGGGAGGATGATGAGGACATCAGTACCATTGTTACACCCACAGCCCCTGCTGCTATACATACTGGACCGATTACTAGAGCTCGCGCACGCCAATTGAATTATCAAGTACTTTCGTTTCTTGGTAACGATTCTAATGTTCATGAGAATATGATGCTGCCTAAATTGGATACATTTGTTTTGCTTACAAATGAAGGGCCTAGCTTGGACAAGAAAGATGAACCTTGGAGCAAGTTCAAGCATGGAGATGATGGCATGCGCAAGGGGAACAAGAACTGAGTTACAAGTGATGATTCCAGGACTCTGAAGCCACCATAATTAGTGCATGAAGCATGGGACGAAATATACAAGATGCCACTTCATAAATTTTGTCCAGAGGCTATTTTAGGTGTTGCATCACCTTATTATTGGGCCAGGCCCATGTATTTTCAAAGTACTTAAGTATAGGCTGTTTTTAGAGTCCGTATGTGTGGGGAAACAAGAGTTAGGGTTGGTTTCGGACCCCTCCACCAAGGGCCACGAAATTCCCCCTCTCTCCTCCATATATACAGCCCTTAGGGCATCATTTAGGCTTTGGGTTTTGTTTAGATTAAAAGTTCGCCATAGCTGCAACTTCGCGTACTTCGTTTGTGTTCAACGACCAGACCAAGGCGTCACAGAACCCCACCTTGATCGATAAAGATTTCATCTTATATTCGCAATATCCAGATTGCAATCTTAGTTTCTTGCTTGTTCTTCGTTTTCTTGCAGGAAACAGACCCTCGTGGTCAGGTTGATCGTGCTCCGGCGTGGTCAATAACCCTCGGAAGTTGGTTGAGCGATTGCTAAGGCGCGACGTCTCGCACGTTCGTAGTCGGATCGTCAAGGTCGACTCCCATAGAAAACGATAGCCACCATCTCATCGAAACATCGGGACACCTTTGCCTCTATCATAACGGCAGCAAGTGATTGAGTTCAGTAGCTCCTCATAGAAAATTATTGGCTCTAGAGATATGGTAAACCGTCCTACTGAATGCATATCGTCAGAAATTCTGAAATAAATTCATAATAAATACGAGCACCAGGACTTGAACCCTGATAGGCCGTGATACCACTGTCCACCTAACCATGCTAGTGCAATGATATAAAATGCAGTTCATTTTCAAGAACGTTGCGGCTTACTTATATCCAATGGGGAGTGCAAAAATATTAGGAAAACAGAAAAAGTTAATGCGGTTCACTTTTGACAGTGTTCTGGTTCACTTACATTCAATGTGAAGTGCAAAAATGTTAGGGAAACAAAAAAAATGTGGTTCACTTTTTGACGGTTGTTGCGGTTCACTTACCTAATGTGAAGCGCAATCCACTTCCTCGTGTGAGAAAATTTACATGCGGTACACTTGTTCATGTTTGGAAAGTTCTTTTTTAGTTTAGTGAACTCCATTCAACTGGTTCTATCTGATGTAGTTTAGTAGTTTGATTCTGGTTCCGCACGAGAAAACGATGTCCGCTTTTTTGTAATTCCAAAAGTGCTCTTAAATTGTAAGGATTGAGAGGGTGTTCTAGACGAGAAAGTTATCTCACGTTGTTAATTTTCCAATGGCGTATCATTTGCATCATTCCGACGAGCGGTTTGAAAAATTCCACGAAAATACGCTGCTGCTACTTGATGCGCACCACACCATTTCCAAAATTCATGTAAAATGGTAAGGAATCTCAAAAGGTGTTCTACATGGAAAAAAATTCCGCCTTTTGCATAGCTTTCTAGCGGTGTATCACACGCCTCATTTCGACAAATGGTCAAAAATTATAACAAAAACAATATCGAAAAAACCATGTGCAGTTCTCTCAGTCGTCATTGCAGTGCGATTTCCTGTCTGATGCAGTTCACTTCGTCGATTTTGGGGTCCGTGAAAAACAAAGTTTCCATGTTTTGGTAAATCCAAATTTGCTCTTAAACCTTAAGAGATTAAAGAGACTATTCTACTTGAAAAAGTTGTGCCTCATCGATATCTTCCCAATGGCATATCATTTGTATCATTCCAATAAGCTGTTTGAAATTTTTCATGAAAATACGCCTGCTGTCACTCGCCGAGTGTTGCAGTGTTTTCGAAACTACTCTTAAACTACAAGGAATCTCGAAAAGTGTTCGACATGAATTTTTTCCGCCTAATCCATAGCTTTTCAGAGGTATGCCACAAGCGCCATTCTAACAAACACACAAAATTCTTAGGAAATATAATAAATGATGAAAGAGAATTACTACCAACTAACTTCTTGCTTTGTTAATCACTTCCCCACGACCAAGTCGGTCGTAAAATATTTAGTGGCCAATTACTACATGGAACATACATATAATGAAAACTAAGGTAAAATTATTGCTGCAACGTCCTACTAGGTAGATAGTAAAATCCTTACATGCAATGGTAAACATATTACTATTCGCAAAAGAGGTGGTAAACATATTACTACATAAGTTGCTAATGCATGCGTTTAACAAAACCTTTACTAGAATTCTCTAGAACAATCACTAGAATTACTATACCAATTACTAGAATGAAGTACTTCACGCTTAGTCTTAAAGTCACTACTAGTATGTACTTAGACTAATATTATTAATAGACTAAACTTTTTTACCTGTGTCTTAACACACTTCATGGTGGGACATATCCAATAACGAAAAGCTCGATATCTCTAAGTAAGGTAATAGTAATGCAAAATATAGTACTTCCTCCGTCTAGGTGTATAAGTCATCTTACGTTGTCCATCGCGACCAAGGTAGAGGGAAAAACGAGAGAACTTAATGTTTATTTGCTAATTAATAGCATTGCAGGCAATGAACTAACCACTGCATGTCGTGTTTGATAGTCTCAAGTCATTGAAAGCATGTACGCCCCACATCTCTTATTGGTTGTTATGTCAAGAAACTAGAAATGAGGTAGGAGTTAATGCATCGCGCCTAAGTGTTTTGGGATTATTTGGTTTTCGTAAGGTGACTTATACACCTAGACAAAGGAAGTAATGAAATTAACATTATTACTGGTTGAAGTATTCCACTAGGCTTCTTCTAACACTAATTATGGTAAAAGTCCTGCAAAATATGGTAATGAAATTAAGGAGGAAACTAAGATTATTTTAATAGAAAATATACTAAATGGTAATTATAATTTGGCTTCATAGAGTCGATGGTTATTAGGTGCACTTTAGATAGGTGATAATTTTGTTACTAGCAACTACTTGTGAAGAGTCAATGCAAATCATGTGGCACATAGGTAAGATTCAAAAATTGGATGGTATTTTTTCTAGTAGAAAGCATACTAGGTAGTAACTTTGTTACTACTCCGTACAGTTCAAGTCGGTTGCTATTAGCTGCTGCTAGAAAGGTAGTAATGGCATTACTACATTTTTCCTTTCTTACAATCAATTTAGTGCTATGAGGTAGGTAAAGTAATGACATTACTACATTTCTCCTCTTGTTACCGTTATGAGGTAGGTAGTAATGGCATTACTATATTTGTTCTTTTGTTAGTACAATTGATTTACCGTGTTGATGGTTGGGTTGAATTATAGGCAGAGTTGGTTAGCGGCGCGCTTCAAAGTGGCTGGAGCGTACGATTACTTACAATGCGCTCAGGCTTAGTTTAACATGTCTATATATAATATGTTTATATACTATATATAAGATACTTCAAATCGAGTTATATGAAAAAATTGCAAGTTCACCATATTTTTTATTATATTTATGAAATACATATATATTTATACGTAAAAAGGAGCATACTCAAAATACAGTATATATAGTATAGTACCAAAAAAGTAGTATATATACTACCTAAACATTTTTATATACTATGTAATACACGTACATACTCTTCGATTTGATAGATACTACATACAACATATAAAACGTAAGTGGTGGTAACTACCACTGGGTGGTAAAAAACATTTTTTTTCATATATATATATATATATATAGGATAGGTCTATTCTAACAACACCCCTTAAGACCTTATTGTGCACACACAATTCTTATTCTTCACACACCCTAAACCACAGCCCCGACCCACGAAACAAAAAGAGCAGGTCAACCCCGGCCCACGACCTCGACCTCCTTCCTCCACCCACGAACTCTCCCCTCCACCCACTCCCTCCACCTCCTTCCTTCAGCCGGGGCCGCGCCCACCCCCATCCCGCCCCACCTCCCC